CTCCATTTAGTTCTTTCTCCTCCTTTGCGGCTTCACCTCCATTTAGTTCTTTCTCCTCCGTTGCGGCTTCACCTCCATTTAGTTCTTTCTCCTCCGTTACGGCTTCTCCATCCACCGGTTGCTTCACCCCTTCCTGGGGAGTTTCCCCACACACAGGGGCGGTGTGTGGTCCCCCCTGACCGGTAGCAGGAACACCAGTAGTATCCTGACCGGTAATAGCCTGACCGGTAGTAGCCTGACCGGTAGTAGCCTGACCGGTAGTAGCCTGACCGGTAGTAGCCTGACCGGTAGTAGCCTGACCGGTAGCAGCCTGACCGGTAGCAGCCTGACCAGTAGCAGCCTGACCCGTTTTTCTAGAAGCACTCTTTCCATTCTCATTATTTCTGGCATTAATTGAATTGATGATCTCTTGGACGAGCTTCCCCACTAACTTGATAAGCATTAAACAGAAGCTTTCTTTTTTCTTATGGTCGCCCTGTCGCTTGTTCTTCAGGTGATCTTCGTACAATACCTTTTCATCATAGAGCACGTGGTTCGTAAAATACACGATGCTAAACATGCGGAACAGGATGTTTTTTCTCTTTGGCTTTGGAGCAACTGTGCTGGAGACGCTGCTACCAGGACCACGGCCACTTGCGCTTGTTCCATTTCCCCTGCCGGTTCCTTTCGTGGCACCAGACTCGGTGCTGAACGTGGGATGCGCCTTAATGTTGGTGTCCAAATCGAACCTAAATTTTGATCCCTTCTTTGGCTTCACCTTTACGTATTCCCTGAAATTTACTTTGGCTAGCTCAAAGCAGTAGTGCAGTAAACTGGTCTTAGCCACCGTTACATATTTGTGCTTCCCTTTAAATACTCTACAAAGGTACCTATAATAAATGAACGAAATAATCACTCCGAAGATGAAGGCAACCATGTAGGAAACGTGGAATCCACTGGACTTCCGATGGTGGTAGGCATCAGAATCATCATCATCAGATAGTATGGAGGAGTCATTGGCAATGTTTAATAGGGAAAAAAAGTAAAACTTAATCCATCGTTTGTAGTAAATATACAGTCTGAACAAATAAATTAAAAACAAAAGGGACGAAGAATAATAGGTGTGATACAGTGCACTTTTAAACATATATTTCAGAGGGCTAAAGTAGGCTCTCACATCCACTATGTAGAAATGTTTTGAGAGTCTATTTAGGAGTGCGTCATTTTGGTAAAAATTGGATTGAATTATTTTATTCATTTTGTGCCTTGTGAAATAGGTTAACAATACGAATACGCAAAGATATATTTCTACATCGAGTAAGAGGGAGAAGACGAAATCGATGGCGTCAACCTTCATCTTTTCAAGGGTCGGTCTGCTTTTTTGTTGTCTTTAGGGAAAGTTGCGGAATTGCAGCTCATTTTTTTGGAGGAGGCTTCCTTCGCCAGCGCGTCACACATATGTACAGGTGAGGTGTGCTGAGGCAGCAGTAATAATGTGCTCTGATGAAGTGGGGAAGTTCTTCCTCGATCTTCTTCTGCCGCGACAGTTGCGTGCACAAACTTTTGGGGGGAGGAGCGTCCTCCCTTTTGGCGCTATTTGCACTGGATTCTGTGTTATCCGCAGGGTTGTACGTACGATTGCACGTACCATTGCAGGTAGCATTACACGTAGAATTGTGCGAACAACTGCGCGCGGAATGGCACCAGGGGGCGCACTTAGGTTAGTACTCCTTCCAGGGCATTATAGTCCCTACCGGGTCGGGACGCCCATGAGGAGTTCTATTCCTATTTAACAATTTTTTTTGTTTTGTTTTTACTTTCTAGAGGCAGGCGTCCGCGCAGTAAAAAGGCTTCTGAGGTAATGTTGAAAGAAATATGCGACGTAGCATATATCTTCCTGCTTTTTTTTAATTTTATTTTTCGTTACCATTATATCTGTTAGCGCGTAAAACGGCATCAAAAACAACGGGATTCGCGCACTACTTCTACATTTTGCGTTTCTGCATGTGCGGGTATAATATAACATACTCGCGAGTTATAATACCTACGGCTGCGTGTACAAGAAGTGAGGTTGAATCATTGAATACGGTTTGAAGAAACAAAAGGACTGCATGGTAGTGAACTCCCTTTTTTTTTGACTACTGCGAAAGAAGTTCGACCTACCCGAACTAGTGCATCTAATTAGTTGCGCATGATCTTATCGGGTGCTCCTTCTCGCATTTACGATACGCCGCTCCCGTTTTCAGTTGTTCTTGCGGTTATACAAACGAGTATAATTATTTGTTTATATTTACGCACGCATGGTAATATATATATTTTTTTCTTCTTCCCTTTTTGCACTTGTAACTTGTGAAGGTTTTCTTGTGTTCTATATTTGAATATATATCTGTTTTCGTAAATACGCACAGCTGTAAAAAGGTTAGTTCAGATCTCATTTTATTTTTCACCTTGCTGCTTGGTTTGTTTTTTTCTTCAATACGTGAGTTTGTCAGCTTCTCAGCTTCTTAACTTTTCAGCTTCTTCACTTTACAGTTTATTTGGTCCCCCGAGCAACTGGGCACCCATATATTTTTCTTTTCCTAGGTTGGATTCTGCTTCCTGCAGCTCTGCTTGGTTTGGTTGCTTTTCTTTGTCGCATTGGGTCCCTGGCGCTTGTGCGTTCTTTCTCTTTTCAGTCCTACCCCTGTTTTCATTTCTCCCTTGTCATCCCTTTATGAACACTTAAACATTTTCCTCGCTCCTTTGCATTTTAATCTAATGCGAGGCCGGGTTTGTCACAAAAACATACGCACGCGTAGCTGGCTACGTGGTCATTTATAAGTATATCGGCGGATGCATAAAAAACTAGGCGCGTCAAAATGATAATATATTAGGAGTTTACTATGCTAGGAGTTTACTATGTTAGGAGTCTATTATGTTGAGAGGTTACTATGTTAAGCAGTTACAATATTAACGTGTCAATATGTTAATACTTTTTTCTTATGCCGTCATGGCGCGGCTATTTTTTATGCCTACCCGGCGGAATCAAAACTATTTTTTTTTTTTTATTCTTCACTATTCAGCAACATATGTGTGTCACATTTGCCATCGGGTTGCCTTTTGTATACGGCCAAAAAAAAAACGTATCTAAAAAATGGCTCTAATCAGGGACAAATGTGATGTTCAAAATTAAGCAGTGAAATATAAAACAATTTTTTTATTTTTCTTCTTTGACATTGTATCAATTTTACTTAATGATTTGTTTCGCACGTTTCTCGTTTTGGCTTTATGATTTTTTTTCTCACAAGTGACGCGAAATGGAGAAAAGAAACCAGCCACGCTTTTATAAAAAAGGTGAACTAAAAATGGAGGCGAATTGTAGTACAGAGTTAAAAAGACATTATTAAAAAGAATAGACAAAAAAAAAATAAATAAATGAAAAAAGGAAAAACATAACACGCTGATTTCATAAAAAATGGTCGAATACCACCGTGTTGGCTATATTTGCGTGGGGGAAGTTCTTCAAAAGATCGCCAACGAAAGAAGTTTCCGCCTCGTTCGAAGCATGACCAAGTAAATGCACGAATGGGGCTAATATTGAAGGGAAAAAAAAAACAACATAAAAAAAAATAAAATAAACGGGGCGTTTTATAACTACAACATAAAAGGAACAAACCTAGTTAGCGTCAAATGCTCACAGAAAAGAAGCTACACACTTAAACGGTACATGTGCGTAGAGCATTTATCTGCACACTACACTGGCATTGCTTTCTGTGTCGATGTGCACGCACATGTGTTACTATGGCAAAAGAGGCTCGGGGCGAGAGGCTCAGCGTGGGCGGCGCGACAGCATTGCGAAACCACTCGTTGTAGGGGCACCCCCATTCCAATCGATCTCGTTGCACCCCCTAAATGCACCCCCCCACAGCAGCGCGACTATCCCCCCTTGACGTTAATCAGGGGGAGAAGCCGCCTGACGACATGTATAAGCGAATCTTGGTTTCGCAGAACCTGGGTCAAATCTTTATACGCCTGAGGAGCTTCGTCGCGAATTTTAGAATTCGTGTCACATCGTACGCCCTTCATGATGTTTACAAAATCGGCTTGATTAATTATTTTCTTTGCATGCGTTCTGCTCAGCACCCTGCCACAACCGTGCGAGCAGGAATTGTAGGATAGCTTGCTGCCCTTTCCTCGGACGATATAAGAACCGACCTTCATATTTCCCGGGATGATACCTAATTGATTTTTCTTGGATGATGTTGCGCCTTTCCTTGTTACATACATGTATTCCCTTTTGACTTGGCTATCTTGGACATAGGTCACCAGTTCGTGGCTGCAGAAATTGTGATGTATGTTTATGGCATTTTCCCAATCCAGTGTGCAGTTAACTTCTTCGTTGATAATTTTTTCGATAATTTTCATCATATAAATTCTATTACATTTTGCATACTCCTGACATAAGCGCATATCCTTGAGGTAATTTTGTCCTTGTTTTTTTCTCAAGTCCAGATAGGCTAGGTCGTTTCTTTTTACTTTGCTTTCTTGGCTAGCCAATTCATCATAAAATTCAGCTGTCCTCTTCCCGATGTTCCTACTCCCCGAGTGTATTAGAATGTAAATATCAGATTCTGGGGAATGGTTTCTTCCGGAATTATAGCTGGGGGGGGTGTCATTTTGGTGAGTCTCTTCTGATAGGTCACCATTTAGCGATTCCGCTTTCTCATCATCTGACGCGTCATATGCAATTTCGATAAAATGGTTTCCCCCGCCTAGCGTCCCCATTTGCTTCAAATGTTTAGGGGTCATTATATGAGCCATGTTGCTGCTGGCATATGTGGCCACCAACCCGTCCAGCACATTTTTTGCATCAAACACTTCTTTCTCATGCGAATCGAAACTTAAAGGGACGTTCCGCTTTATCTTCTGGTATATATTATTTATGACATCCTGATGGAGGTTTTTTTTTTTTAACCTGTTAATTTTAACACAGAGAACGCCACATCCTATGTCAACTCCGACCCCGTTAGGGATGATAAAATGCTTCGTTAAAAATACAGAGCCGATTATGATTCCTTTCCCTAAGTGTACATCTGGGAGGATGGTCACATGCCCTTTTATGATGTCCAGCATGGCTAGGTTTTTTATTTGTTTCAAAGACTCATTATCTATTTCGCTTGTGTACGCTATGACATCATTGCATTTGTCAAAGCGGAGTAAGTACGGGGGCGGTCGGCTGTTGCTGAACCCGATTTCGTTAATGCCGTAAAAGTCGCTCACCTCGCTGTTAGCGTGGAAGAGGTGTGTCTCTCTCCTCTGTTTAAATTTGAACGCGCTTTTTTTTGGACTCATTGACGAGAGCGCCCCGCTGCGTACGTAGCATAACTCGCGCATCATGCTACTGGGTGAGAGGCAACACGCGGGGGAGAGCTGTAGGATGGGTAGCCACTTCATGTTATGTCAAGCTGGGTCCATCAAAGGGGGAAGCACGATTCGAATGGTAGGAGCGGCTTCACTGGTGGCGGTAGCTTGAAAGGCAACCGCTTTCTGGATATAAAAAGTCGTGGCGCGCTGCAAAAAGTGATTTTGTTTTTCCCGCATGGGATTGGCTCAGATCGGTGCATTTACGAAGGGCTAAAAAGAAAAAAATTCACCAAAAAAATTCGACGCATATGCATTTAAACGTAGGTTACTGCGCACCGAAGTACAATGTGTTGACTGTGCATGTACTCTTCCTATTCGGCACTCCCCCCTTGATGGGCCCCTTCTCCATTATGCGCGTGAGTTCAGCGATCCCATCAGAATAGATCGCCAACTGGGAAAAGTAAGGGTACCATGGATCGTCCTTTACAGTCCGCTTCCAACCCGTTTGGTAACCCATTTAAGGTTGTAAAAAAGGGGGATGTCTTTTATGCCATTCCGCGCTGCGTTTTTCTTTTTTTATAAATGGCCAAGTTGTTTGGAAAAAAATGTAAAAAAAAAAAAAAAAGCAGAGAGAGAGAGGAACGTCAAGGAGGTGGACATTTACGAGGGTACTCTCAACTAGGCAGGTAGAAGTTGCACAAAGGTACATACATACGTGTGCTTAGAAGTGTGGTATGTAGCGCACACAGATGAGGATGCCCCCAACAGGTGCTGGCCACCATAACCACGTTACCGCGACGCCACGACCAACACACCACCACACCTATTTGGGGGTAGTCCATCAAGTGGGGGAGAGCATGACGCGCTCGCCCACATCGGCGAAGTCGTCCACGAGGATTTTCCTGAGGAGCGTCGTCGAAATGGAAAACTCAAGCAACTTGTTCTTCCTCTGTGAGACAGCAAAGATGGAGTCCTGGTGAATGATTATGCCTGCCACGTGTCGAAGAAGGGGGTGTTTAATCACTTTAATTAGCTCAAAGTTATTAATGTCATATTCTTTAATATCATGCGTCTTGGAGCTTCCGACAAAAATGTGATTATTTTCTTTATGAAATAAAATCGAAATTGGAGAAAAAACAGGAATGATTTTTACTAAATTAAAATTCTGGTCATATATATGAACCCCAGATTGTTTATTCGAAACATAGCATTTCCCCATGGAGTCGAAATCTAGGCCACGGATTTCTTCATTTTTATTCAGCTTTATAACTAGCCCGTTTGAAATGTTTTTGTACAAATCTATTGGCTGACCTAGTTCTCCGCTGTCAACATCGAAGCGTAGGACAGATCCAGTATTCTGGGAACTTATGTAAAAGTACTGATTATTTTTTTTAATGCCATATGGGTGTATCATGAGTGGGTTATTCTGTGGGTCCTGTTGGATAAAGGTGGAGACATAGGCCCTCCTATTTGATAGCTCCTTGATACATTCACTAAAATGAAATATTTTGGAGTTTTCTATAAAGGAGTCGGTAACATACAAGCCTTTCTCATGAAGTAGCAATCCCCTTAGACTTATGGAGTTAAAAAATTTGCCTTTTTCTTCAAAAGGTAGTAGTACCGATCCTAAGTAATAACCATCCCTCGAGAATTTACAGATATTATGAATGGAGTTTTTCTTCCTTCCTCCATGAAATGTTACATATAGGTATGGCCCTTCATTGATCAGTGTGTACACATTGGTTAACTCCGTTTTGGTTATGTTTTGCATATGATTGGACAAGAAGAGCTTCCCATTCGTGTATACCCCTTTGTAATTAACAGGCAAACAATTCAAATCTTGCAGCACCAAAAAATTGTGCAAAAAATCGTAAAAGCTATTTATTTCCTTCGTTTGAAGTATTTCCAGGTATGTGTACAAAAGGGCATTTTTCTCTATTTGACTTCTTTCCCTTTTTTCAAAAAAAGAAAACAAAATATTTTTGTACGTTTTTTTTGAATACTTGTAATTGTCCAAATCGGCTTCTTTATAATCTTTGTTCACTTCTGCGTCTGCGATGTCAGACAAGTGGAAGCCCCATTTTTCTAAACTGCTGTACACCAGCTCTTTGCTGTTCGGGGGGAACCCAAAGGAGTGCAGGAGCTCATTCGTCGTATCGTCTATGGTCATCATGGGAAACTCCCTCGCGCTCTTACTATTCATATTCGTATTCATGTTACTGTTACTGTTGCTTTTCACGAATAGGGAAATTACCAGGATGCTTATGATGGATATGCCAATTCTCGTTATCAGGTGGAAGAGCGTACTCTTGGGCATTTCATACTGTGCATGCTCATTCGCGTGGTGGTGCTTTCGCTTGAAGGGGGACCCACCGTTCAGCAGCCCGCTCTCCATCGCGTTCCTGGGCTGAAGAGGTGACACCGTGAAGCAGTGGTGTTGTGACACGGCGGTGTGGTGATGCCGCGGTGTGGCGGCGTAAAGTCAGTAGGGTCTTCCCACCTAGGTTATTTCAACGAGGCAGCCCCGTGCCACTCCGCGGCTGCAATAGCCGTCGTTGCAATAGTCGCCGTTGCGTCACCACGGTGCTGAGGGAGCCCCTCAACAGTGTGCTCACTTGGCTGGGCAATTTTGTGTTCCCCTTTATGGCAGAATCCTCACCCCAAGATGCCCCTAATTATTTGAGATAACTTTTCTTCCAAGGTGGGAGGCACTACATACACTTAGAAATACGTGACCCCCTTTTGGAAGGAAATCTCCACTGGCGACAGAACGTGAGCAATGATCCTAGCCACCGTATGAAGAGAGTTCTTTTCCTGCACTTCTTATTCGAATCAGTAGAAGCGCGAACATGTTATCTGAACTGGTTTGAATGTGCATGTCGGTGGATCTGCAGGAAAGTGCCCGTTGATTCCCGCCAGGCAACATGCGCCGTGTACTACGCATCACACATTGCGCACTACACGTTACATACTGCATGCTTTACATTAGGTGTCACGAGTTTCGTTCAGCATTTTTTTACACTTCTCTTCCTTAGCTGATCGAAATGGTTAGGGGTTAGAATTTGGAAAAATCGAGCTGCGCCTTCTCTTTTTTTTTTTCTGCCAAACGTATAAACATTTAAGAATCGACATTTCTTTTTCGCCTTTCCCTTTAATGGTTTTGTTTCCTCTTTTATTTGTGGGCGTTACTTCTGCAACGAAAGTTTAAAAGCATGCAGAAGAACACCCATTATGATACCACCTGCGAACACCCCAAATTTGTATGCCATTTCTACGCAGCGTAGTACGACCATTTGGTCCCCCCCCTTTGGTTTGCTTATATAAAGTGCAGCGATAAAAGATTACATTCTTTGTAGGCGCAGAAAAAAGCAGTTTCACAATCCGAAGGAAAAAAATAGCATTTAAATCATCACAAAATTGTTGATAGAGGAGATACTGTAAGGATGCGTCGTAAGAACGTCTTCTGCGCACAATTTGTCTACAGGTGAAGAGCAACAAGAGCGCCGCTTTCTTTTTTTCGAAAACTCCACTTGCTCGTTATTGTCATTTTCGGGGGATGGGAATGATCTTTTTAGCGAACAAATATATGAGAAGAAAATTCATATTTAAAATGCATGTCATCATGCGCATCCAGCTCGTTTGCATGTCTTTTTCATGAATTCAGGAGAATATTTTCCCCATGGAGAAACAGAAATTTGTAAGGGGACCCTCCTGTTATTCATGTGTAGCTTTAAAGATACATCCGCACATGCGAAAATGTTAAGATGTCACGTGAAAGGTGGAAAAAAAACAGAAACGGCGTAAAACATTCGTGTAGTCCTCACCATCACGTTAAGCATACTTCTCAGAAATGATTTCACGTGTTTGGATTGCTCCTCCAACGGAGGGTAGACATGCACATTGGAAACGTGGAGAGCGGTTGCACCCCCATGCCAACAGCGTTTACGCCAAAGTCGAGAAACCATTTTTAACCTCCCATTTGCATTTCCTCATTTTGTCAGATTGAAAACTACTCGCTTTTGACGCTCATTTCGCTTCATGTAGCCCCTTTTAGATAGCTAAAAGGAGCACAAATAAAAGCATCGCCGTTTTCATTTATCATCACATTGTAAGGAAAGAGGTAAGGGATATATGGCAAGGGAAATTCATTTTTACTTTTTCGCTGCGGACGCAGTTTGAAAATATACGTCCGTCGGATGGCCATATGGCAAAGATGATTGGTAAACAAATTAACGGGAGACTTTTAGAAGAAAAAGGGGTTCATGTTCCTAGCCGTTGCGTACGTTGCTGTTCCGCAAAATGGGCTCCATAACAAAGTTAAGTTTTAAAAATTGTTCTAGCTTCACCGCGCGCTTGTCATTGAAGAGGAGAGCAAACGATTACATTCACATGTTTATCGATGTGGCATATGGGCGATATGCATTTATGTACTTTTTTTTTTTTTTTTGTCACTTGCAAATTCGCAGTCAGACCATTGTCGTGCGCGGTGTGGGGGGGCACCCCCACCTGGTTTCCCTCCGGAGAAACGAAATGCGAATGTTACAGCGGGCTAGAAAAACATCGCATCATTTTTATTAACACGGTGCAGACCTAGCTAGTTTCCGCTGCTCTTCATGATGAACACTTGCACGGTGACAAAGTTCAGCTCATTGGGGCTGAATGAAATCGCAGTGAAAGAAAGTCAACTTATGCTTCTACAAAATTGAAACAATAAGTAAAAAGGGGCTACAACCAGTTTGGGCATACTCAGCGGAGTAGAAGCCATTACGCAGAAAATGTACCCTTCAGCGCTTTCCACCGCATAACCCTAGTAAGTGATGCGTGAATTCCTTTTTTGTGCGAAGCGCACGTGGGATGGAAAGAAGCCTCTGACATCACACTATTCTTCACCAGTTCACTTAACGACGGGGGGGGTGAACTTTCATAACTGCATTTTTGCACAACATTGATCTGCTAAAACGGTTACTCTACTTTTAACCACGTTCGCATAAAAAATTATGTGTAACTATGCGTAATATCTGCAAATTGCACAGGTGGGCAACATAGGCTCATTATATCATTGAGATGTACGTAATGCATCCCATACGCATGCAGTGGTAGAGCCTTTTTTTTTTATGTTAAATGGAAATCTTCGTAAATGCATTTTTATGAACATACATAAAAAGGGTGCTTTTATTTAAAATGAGAATTGTAAAAGAAGAAAAAAGGGAGTGAAAAAAGAATGTAAAAAAAAAAAAAATGATGCGTGTTATTTAGGTACTTTTTCCTCATTTCGCGTGGGTGTGGCTCACGTGCGGAACTAGTGAGACTTCTTCATTCATCCAGGAACATTATCACAATGGCTACCGCCGATGCGGTCCCCGTGCAGCTATTCTCCATCGATGCCACCGATGGAGGCTCAAACTGGGGTTCGCTTTTCCCACTCCACCCACTGCGAATTAACAGGTAGGTAAACATATATACAGACATGTGTGAACGTATATAGGTATGCCTCTGCGCGGATACCCTGCGAGCTCAGAGCTCGTCGTTCTTCGGAGCGGACTCGGTCGCGGAGTCCTGCTTCTGTATCTCGTCTTCGATGTTGATCTCCTCGTGGAACGTCTGACCCTCGGCAGAATCCTCCTGTTCCATTTTCTTGGTCTCGAAGATGGCCGGGTCCAAATCGTCAATCTTGAGGTTGTTGTCTACTCCTAGCTTCTGATTAATGTGGTCGTAGACAATTTGGGCCAAATCTGCCGTGTCCTCCAAGTCAAAGCCAGATGCCAATTTGGCAGACTGGTAAATAATTTTAATGCTTTCAGTTAGTTGAGAATCTTTCGGATTGGAAACTGACCTTTTTAACAAGTCGATCATGATTGGATGATCTGGATTAATTTCTAAAATTTTTTGGCCACTCATAGCTCTGATTTGCTCTGCATTATTAACATTTATTTTCATTAGCTTTTCCATTTGTCCTGATAATCCCCATTCAGTGGACACAACGGCGCAGGGAGCGTCAACAAGTCTTCTCGAAATTTCCACCTTGAAAATTTGATTTCGCAAGGTATCCGAAATGACATCAATCAATGCCTTGTACATTTTTTTTACTTTTTCTTCTTTTTTCTTCTCATCATCAGTTAAGTCAAAGGTAATTTCTCCCTTCTGAATGGACTTGAATTTTTTCCCGTCATATTCTTGTACTCTCTGTACGCAGGACTCATCCACCGACTCGGTTAAAAACACAACGTCGATGTTTTTCTTTTTAAAAATCTGCAACTGAGGAATTTTGGACAAATATTCATACGACTCTCCCGAAGCGTAGTAGATAAATTTCTGATCCGGTTTCATATTCTCTACATAGGTGTCCAACGAAATGCTTTTCGGGTGCAACATGGTTTTGAATAAAAGTAACTTAACAATTTTGGATCTATTAATATCATCCTCATAGCATCCTGTTTTTAAATATTTCCTATACTCTTTGTATATTAATTTGTACGTACTTGGTTCATTAATTTTTTTTTCGATTTCTTTTTTTTTTTCCTCATCCGTTTCTTTTGCTAGTTGTGCTCTCAAATCTTCCTTGTTTTTTTTTCCATTCGTGTACAGAGTGCGGAAGGTATCCAGGATCTTCCTCACAATTCTTTTCGACACAGCTTTTAGAATTTTATTTTGTTGCAGTTGCTCTCTAGACACGTTAAGGGGGAGATCGTCACTGTCTACTACTCCCTTTACGAAGCTCATATATCTGGGGAGGAATTCCACAAATTCGTCTGCTACGAGAACTCTCCTGACGTACAATTTGATGGAGTTTTGTTTGGTGAACAAGTGGTCATTTATGGATGGAGCTCTGGAGGGGATGTATATTAAACACTTAAATTCGATTTCTCCCTCTGCGAAGAAATGTATGTGATATAGGGGTTCATCATTGTAGCCGGACAGTACACTGAAAAACTTCTTGTAATCTGCGTCGGTTAACTCTTTGGGTGGCCTTAACCAGATAGGCTTCTGCTCATTCATTAGTTTCCATTTTTTTACCTTCTTCTCTACAGTTCTTGTCTTTTTGTTTGGGTCATCCGTTTCCTCCACTTTAACGCTGTCATAGTTGGGATCGTTTTCCATTTCTTTGGCTATATCGGCCAGTACTTCCTCCGTGTAGACATTTTCGTGTAGCAGATAAATGGGGTACTGAATGAACTGACTGTACTTGGAAATTAAGTCCACCAACTTTTTGTCATTCATCAGGTTGGTGGCGTCGTCTTTCAAGTGTAACGATATTTTCGTTCCTCTCTTCAGGGTCGATCCCCTCGGATCCTTATAAATGGAAAATTTAGCATCAGCGGTGGATTCCCAGATGTACTGCTCGTCATTATTATTCTTCGTGTACACGATGACTTTATCTGCCACTAAAAATGCAGA